GCAATTTGTTAAATTGCTGTTATCGAAGCGTTGTTGATGCACGCGAGCCACGGAAAATTGTGTTTTAATTCTTTATGAAAGAGTTATGGAAAATTGTTTGAAAATAGGTACTCCTATACATTCAATGTTACATGTCCTCTCCCCTCTCCGCTGAAATGTTTCATTATGTTAATTCATTTTCATTTTTTCCCTCGAATTATTTCTTCAATCGCTTGGAGAAACATTTTGTGTGATTGTCGCTTCAAAGAATTTATTCGAACGTGACAAAGAAAAATTGGAATATTTTCAATAATTTCTAACATATTATATGTTTAGTGTTTGTAACAAAGTTTTTTACTCTAATACTTATTGAAGTCTTTTTTCTCATCAGTTGCGGAGTTTGTACGATCGATTACCGTAATAATACGTGTATATAGAAAAGTTTAGTACGTGAGGATATGAAATGAAATCCCCTGTTATTGTGAAATAAAGAGAATTATTTCTCAGTAGAATGAAATACTACAGCAACATTGAGGCGGAAAAGTGAATGCAATACTGTTTTGACGTTAAACAGATTCGATATGTGTTTTAATACCGTTGTTCAGGTCATCTCGACTGTTGTCAGTTTTGCAGCTTTGCGTATTTCTCGAAAGACCACCCACTGATGTGAGAAAGAAAATGAGAATTTGTTTATTTCGACTTTATTGAGCCTGGTGACTCCAACGCAAGAATGTTGTGCAAATGACTAAATATTGAACTATGATTGATTTACTGTGTGGAACCATGATTGACTGTTCTTTTGACTGACTGTTCTATCCTCCGAGTCATTCCCTCATAACCTTCCTTGGATTACTTCATTCCGAGGGAAAGCGGGGGATGTGTTAGAGCGAATCCCGAGTGTGTTGGAAATTCTTAAATTTTCCCGTAGTTGCGGGTGACACTGTTAATAATTTTCATTCGTGGAAACTTATCTCGTTTTTTACAGACTCCTAGAGTACGTGATTATGACCTGGGGATCCATGTGGTGTGGAAAAGTGTTCGTCACACTTCAAATTGGCGTAAATGTATGGGGCGCCTGTCCGAGGATTGAAATGGCCCTTTCTCAGAATCAAAATACAAAGTTGCTTGGATGTTTCCACATTTAGCACCTCCATGTCACAAGTGATAAGAAACCGTTGGTCCTAGCAACTGTGTGTCGCAAAAATGAGATATCATCTGATTTTGTAGTTCATTTACGATATTCTACAAATTTTGAAAAAAATTATTTAACAGTCGGAAAGGCTGTAACTTGAAGCAAAAGACTATTATTACTGACTCTATATGAAGGATGAATGAAACG